TGATCAAAATCATGGTCAGAGAAATTTTTGAAATGCATTTGTGTTCGTTGCGATGGTATTATTTTAATTACATGTAATTGAAGTCAGGGGATTTGCCCGAAACCAAGGGGATTTGCCTGGCGAGAAAGGTAAAAGTTTATTCATACGAAAAGGAGCAATAGCCTTGACCTGTGAGACTTTCCCTCAGGCAAATGCCTTTCCCTTTTCCCGTTTCCTTGGAGGATTTCCCTGGTTTTATTCATACCAGTAAATGTCCCCACGGTCCCATCATCTGCCCATGTTATAGAAACCCCTCCGTCGCCCGTCCTACAATTTTAATGTGCCCACATGTCCCCACTTCTTCCGCGGGCCCTGATAATATGGAGACAGAGAGATGAGGAGAAAGTCAAGTGAAAGGTATACGCTACATGTAAATATGACTGACGGGTTAAACAGTGTTGACATTTTGATACGTTTCATCACTCTCATCCATCCATACTCCATATCACTCGCTGTGTACATACATATTATTCAAACAAGACAATAAATAAAGCTACCAGAACAATAAAGTTATTACGACTTCTTCTTCTTCTTATTCTTCTGTTGACTTGAGATTACATGAAATCAAGAGTCTCGGAATAAAATAATTTATCCATTTGACTTTTCCTTCCTCTTTCTCTTTGGCCTGATCCATATAACAAGTCTTCCTCGTGAGCCCAACTGCTCACTCCAAGCTGGAAATCTATCTTATCCCAAGCACAAAAGGGGGTCCGTCGGCTCAGCTTTAGTGCTCTGTCTGGCAATTTACAAGGGCAGGCAAAGAGTCAAACTCATTTCCTCGCATTGGTGAAAGTTGACTTATCTTTACGGAGAGAGAATAGTGCATAAAGCAAAAAATAAAATTATACTGTTGACTCCGTACTTTGCTGTCATGTCCCACCACCAATCCAAGGGCAAATGTATAATATATTTACGAGCCAAGTTAAGTTGTGATACGGGCAGTGGCCGCGGAAGCCGGGGGGACATGTGGGGACAGGGAGGGGTTTATATAATATGATGGGGACACCGAACAACCGTGGGGACCTCTGCCCCCACGCTTCTTCCGCGGCCACTGGATACACACATTTTTTGGAGAGAACGGAGGATGGATGGATGGATGGCTGGAGGAGAGGAAGGAATGGTTAATACTTTGTTTGATAGCTTGGCTGGCGTCTTTCTCCCCTTTCTTTCCTTCTTAAATCTCCAATCTCCCTCTCCGTCTCCAGATTCTACCATCTTCAATCTGCAATCTTGAATCTGCCCAAGATGAATTGAATCTCCTTTTGTTACTAAAAGTCAAGAATAAGAGAGGAGGAGAGAGGAGTGTGACTGTAGAATGAGAGTGAATTTGTGACTCGTTTCGCTCATACATTTCCACATCTGAACAGATTTAGGGATTACTTACAGCCTCCATTTCTTTCCTTGCTTCTCTTCTGGTTCGTGTGTTGCATCTGGTTGGATTTTTGAATCAAAAATTTGACTCTGCGACAGGAAGAATTATGGTCGAGAATTGCATCAAGAAGGGAAGAAAGTGGTGGTGGTGGTGGAGAAAGGGTGCAAAAGTTGAATTCACAAAAAGAAGCCAGAGAAAGTTCTCGACTTGAACAAGATGAAGAAGGCTAAATTATGTCCTCAATTCATAACAGAGTCAACTTGAGAACAAATGCGACTTGGTGACACATGACAGAAAGGAAGTTGGGAATGAACACTCCATAACTCACCGTACGTACGTACATATCTACATACATACTGATGCTTACGTGAATGTGCATTGTGCTTGGAAATAATAAAGTGCGAATGACGTAAAACAGATGTGAGAACAACAACGAATGTTCGACACTTGAAAACACTGATTACATAATAAACTTATGCAAAGAAGCTTAACCTACAAGTGAAAAAATTGCACGTCACGTTTGTCCAACTGGGGAAAAACATCCCATCTTCTTGCATAAAAGCATTCCCAAAAATTTCACCACTTTCTTTCAGGCTGACTTTCACCAGGAGGAAAACCGACACCTGCTTTCTGATTTACCTACAAGTTTAAAAAACGCATTTCACGTTTGCACAGCTGAAGAGAAACATCCCATCATCTTGCAAAACAAAAAAATCTCAAAAATTGCACCACTTTTTTTCAGTCTGACTTTCACCAGGAGGAAAACCGACACCGATCAGATTTTTCAGATCTTTCAGATTTTTGTCACAGAAGTCGCTCGTGGTGGGTGGGTGTAAAATGAAAGGAAGGTGACTGAACAAGTTGGGAGTAAGACTTGTCAAATCTATAAAGATGTGAGCAAAGGCCGGTTTATGGTTATCTTATTGTCTTCATAAAGCCAGTCGTAAAATTTATGGAGACAAAATGCAAGCTGAATGGAGGAATGAATTCATTCACAAGGTTCATTTCCTTTGGCTCCTGCTGCGAAGGGTGAAAGAGATGCGAGCATCCCATTTTCCATTTCATTGGACCACATTCGGTCTCTTTTAGTAAAGATTACAAGTCATTTCGACTGCCTACGCGTTGCTTTCCCCGCACCAACAACAAGATAATTCAATGCTACCTCTCCTATCTACCCATTTACTAGTTGCTACATAGAAATGTGCTACAATCACATAAAGCAAAAGTGAAGCCAGGATTTTACCCGAATGTCGAATGGGGAATCTTTGTGCGAATGAATAATAAAATGTTAACTGGGCTGTAATTTTTGCTATTTCAATTTAATGGGTGGAATACACAATTGGTTTAATTGCGGATTTTCTGCGTGTTATGCAGAAACATTGTAAAGTACGATTTAGTAGATTTATTTAGATACATTTTAGAATCGTGTAAACGATCGTAACCAAATATTCAATAATGTATTATGTTGCAAATTAAAGTTGTAAATGGATATTCAAATGTCATACAAACTTAAACAATAGTTGTACCACTAAAATGAAGATTTCAATAAATAATGACTGAAAAATAGCAGTAAATGTATAAACTTTCGTATATTTTGAGGAGATAGTTATTTATCGAGCTAAAATTTTATGAAGCCTAAAACCTTTCATCTTAAAACTATCCTCTACTCTTCCTCCTTGGTTCCCCTCCTCTCACAAAATTTTTATTCATCATCAATCTTTCAAAGCATCACTGTCGCTAAAACTTTCCGCCTAAAAGTTAATGTTTGCGAGTCATACAGGAAACCATAACCTCGAAATTATTGCCGTCTCTCTCCGTCTCCGTGGAGGACATAACTATTCAATTTTCACAGGTCTTGTACATACCCACCAACCACCCACTCACTTTCACCATCAAAACATCATTTGATGCGTTTGATTACTCAACTTCCGCGTGTTTGCGAATTTCCAAATGGGATTTGTTATCTCGCTCGCTACACAGTTCAGCCAAGTGTGGCAATTGCTCATTAAACCGCTGGAGTAGATTTGTGTATATAGGCAAAAATAATTGTTTATTGGGGGTGAAAGCAGTGAACACGGTGAAAAGAGTGGGATGGGATGGATGGATTAGTCATCGGAGTCTCTTTTATTGATTTCCTCTTTATTCTTGGACGACGATGAAACAGTGCAAAAAATTATTCCTACTTGGCAATGACTTTAGTGGTGCAAGAGTGAGTGCCATGAATTTTATGACTTTATGAGAGACATTTGTGTGCTTCATTAATTTTTATTAAAGTGCATCTCCCTTTTAGTGTGTATAAAATCCATACAAAGATTAAAATTCTATGTATGTGGCTCGTATTCCTGTCAAGTTCATTATTCTCGTTACAACTTGATGCATGCCCCCTGTTCCAGGAGAACATTTCGATTCAAAAGTCACGAAAAACAGAGCCAATTTCAGGAAAAATAGAAATGTAAGTAAGTACAAAGGGATGATGCGAGTTAATGAATTTGGTTAAAATTCAGGCCAGGTGACAGTCGTCGTCGACGCCGACTGGGAATAGCTCACACGAGTGAACGAAGTGTCAAAATGTGAATCGATTCTGGTGCTAATTTCCCTCAGGAAATACAATCCTATGTTTCCTCCTCTCGGTTCGATTTGGCTGGGATCACTGGGAAGATCAGATCACAGAGAGGAATGAAATCGTGGTGGGATGACATGTCAAAGCCAATATGAAGCCGTGGAAAGTTCTGATAATAATACAAAGAAAGTGAAAGTATGCCTATTATTGCATAACTGCATATATGATGGTAAAAGCGTGGTTCTTGTCGGTGGGGCTTACTATATTTTTTGTTATGTAATTTAGAAATTTCGTAATGATAATAATAATAGTTGATAAGTATTGACAAGTTCTTTTGTGAATGGGGTTTTAAAAATCGTCAATATTCCTAGAAATGTCAAGCAGTGAAGGATAATAAATAAGTATGTACATACTACGAATAAAAGTCGTCACTAGTGTCTGCATTATATTTATCTGCGATTCAAACATTTTAAGTTTTTGTTTCATTTCCAGGAAAAAGTCGAAATCCAGACGTCCAAAAATATTCCGTAATTCTATTTGCTATTTAGGCCTTCATAATGAAGGCTTCATTATTACTCCATTTTGTCAGTTGTCAGTGTAAATATCGCAGTGCATAACCTAAAATTAACCCGGCAGGCAACGAGGTGATTTTGCCTTATTTTTGGAAACTCAGACGCTATTCCATCCAGCATGTATTATTCAACGTTCATCTCTTTCTTTCCATTTAAATAATACGTTTTAAACCAAGTAAACCAATGCCTGAAGAATGCAGACAAAATATTACATTGCATGCTGCACCCTTTTTGCATCCTCTTCCTGAAACAAGTAAGACACCAACATTAACGAGAAGCCATTACGAGACAAACCTGAAATTTATGCATTTACGTAAAATAACATTTTTTTTCATAAATTTCATAATTCATAATTATTATCATTAATTGAATTGTTAAACTTGAAAAATTGAGACTGGACGATCCAACCCAAGAAGTGTGGAGCCTGTCTCAGAGTTCCCCCCGGACGACGCAGAATTCAAACTTCAATCCACTGCTCTCCTCTCGCTTTATCTTTATCGTCACTCTTTTAACTCCCGATTCAAGGACAACAACGTTTCGACATCATCGTCAACTTTAATAGTAATTAAGTTTTGCAACATTTGTGACGATACAACGACAAAGATAAGGTAAGATTATCATTATATTCATTTACGGGATGGGTGGGATTGCTAGAGAAAGAGAGGAATTATTTGGAGAGGGAGCGTGACAAAGGGAGCTGGAGGGAAGCAAAAGGGTGACATCATCGTTAATTTAATTAGACGGCCAATTGTAAATATTGCATTGTTTTGTTAAAGTTGTTTATGTGTGAAGTAATTTAAATGGGGAATGGTAGGATTGGCTCGGAATTATTATTATTTTGCATCATGGTTAATCTTAATTCGTGTTTTATGATCATTTTGGAGGTAAAAGTTTGTTTATTTAGATTTCGAAATTTACTATTTCCTTTATTAGGTGTGCATTCAAAATTTTGGAATGTACATAGTCTTTAGGCATGACAAAGAGTGAAAATGGAAGTGGAATTGGAGCTGCAATTTGTGGAGGTTTTGCGATAAATAAGAGGAAACAAATTGACACAATTATATAAGACAGCAAGTGAATTATTTTAATTTTTGCAATGTTTAGTTTAGCAAGATTGCGATTGTAATGCACGAGTGAGAAAAATGTACACTATTATGATACGTGACATGAGAGACGTAAGTAATTATGTAAAATCTTTGCAAATTAAATGCATCAAATTACAAGTTTTTATGGTTCTGTACTAACCTCATAATTTCAATAATTAGTTTAACGGTCCACATAAATAGTTTATCATCATATTATTTTCAAATGTGGAGAGGAGATTTCAACACTAATTCTTAACGATGAAGGCGTGTTATTTAATGCATAATTATTATTACACACATATTCATAACACACTTCATTTCATACAAAACAATTTAGTTACGTGATTATCACCACACCATATTTCATCACAGCTTATCTTTTTGCTGTCGACTTGTTATGTCATGTCGTTAATACGTTGTGTTGCTGGACCAATACTGATAAATGAAACATCCGTATCATCCAAGTTTCAGATTTCTGTTAGCCTCCACCATATCATACTTTCTTTTCCGCTTATTGGCTAAAGGACCCGTTGTCAAAGCGTCCAGCCGGATCCAACGCAAAGATTTATTGTTTTTATTAGTAAAGTAAAGCTGACCCAACCCCAACTTTCTCATAGCAAATTGTGACATGGAGAAAAGAAAGAATTCTCAAGAGGTTACCAAGAACAATTTGTTCTTGTCTTCGTTCCGGTCTCCTTTTGTGTAAAGCTGCTGTTTCGTTGGCCCAACAAAAGTCACGTTGCCCTCTTGTCTCGAGAATATGTATGTAACCACGGCCAAGTTTTTTTTACTACTAACAAAATGTAGGACTTAAAAGTAGACACCACTCAATTTTTATGGCGTGGGTGGCATAACCGACATTATAAATTTTAAAACGGCAATAAAGGTACAAACTGTCCAGAGTATTACGCAATAACGACACGTTTTCTATTTCAGTATAAACATTGGTGAAAAATGACACTTATTTATTTGTGGCTGGAGATAAGTGCAGCAAGGGGAAAGTTGTCGAGTTTGAGCACACCATGATATCACGCAACAATTGACACTGACAGACTGACATGTAGGAAATGATGGGTGAAGAGTTCAACCGAAATTGGGGGGAGTGGTCGGGCGGGCTGAGAAAAGTTGATACGATGACATAAGAAGATAAAACCGAAAGTGAAATAAAAGAGGAAATATTATTTTATGATTGACCTCCTCTCATTACTTAAAGCAATTTGTACCAGTTTACGATGAGGTTGAAGTATCGATAGGTACATTTTTGTTTCTTTAATCTCAAGTCGATACACCCAAGCTGAATATTTGTGAACTCATGAAACTTGAGTCATTTGTTTTTGTCGACGAGTTCGGTTGCACTGGAGTACATATTTAATACGTTGTTTACGACGTAACGGAAAGGGAAAGGAATATGATTCACTTAATTTATCGTTGATTGGTTGATTTCCTCTTCTGTTTGCATTATTTGTCTACATTCCGAAAGAAAATGACTCCACGTCTCCGCTGAGTTATGACTCATTAGTTATGTTAACCTGGACTGGAACAAGTAATTTTTGTTTTTTATTTCACTTTTTACCAGAAACTAGACTAGACCGGATAAGAATTAGTTATGCTCCAGCAAGATTATTTATGAATTGTTTAAGATAATTTAGAATACATGAATAATTACGGTGTCAATAATCATCTCGTCTGACTCGTTAGTTTGTTGTGAGTGTATTTATGTTAGTTTTTTCTCTCTGTTGTAATGTTTTTGTTGATTTGAATTTTGAAAAAAATTCTATAATCTCGACGCTATTCGGAAAGAGCATAAACCCCAGTTTTGTTGACCTTGAATCACCATTAGTCATTATTTCAATCTGCTTCTCTGATGCTATTTATCCAGACGAGACTCCAGAGTTGATGGGGCGTATTCCCAGTTTTTCATCGTATTTATCCATCCATGTTAAATACATTTGAGTTCATCAAGTATGTGGACGAATGGCTCGCATGTGTTGCGTCGAGTTGCGTTATCTGTCTGCAATTACGGCTAATTACTTCATATTCTATCCCAATGATTAATATCTCGCTGGGAATCCTTCTCTTCCGTTGATTGACAGCTTGGTCGAATGTTTACAGAAACGTGTGTGCAGCTCAAAATGAAGTTTTCGCATTTCAGGCTGTTGATAAAAACCACGAATGAATGTATTTAGCACCTCTATTTCATAGTACAAATATTGTTGTGGCTTATACGTATGTCGTATAAGTATGTTGGATAATTAGCATTACCGCGAATGGCGGATATATCTGGATGGATGAGCACTATTTCGACATCGTACATAATCCCAACGACTTACCAACACCATAGCTACTTTGCATAGGCCATAGTTTGCTTAGCTCATTACACTAAAACTATACCCTAATGGAGTGGGCTCATTACTGAATTAATATTTAGAAACTTTCATGCTCTGATCAACTCGAGAGTGAGTGAGTGAAGGCAAAGAGATGAACGAGGCTCTGGAGTGTTTTTATCAAGTCTGTCCAGCAGCAAATGAGTATATTAAGCTTCATAATGGCTAGCTGGCATCATATATTTAATTTCATTAATTTCTAAATAATGTACACTTTCAAAATTGGAATTGAGGGAAAGTTGGTTATTTCTCCCTATGAATAATTGGGTATATTTCCAGAATTTGTAAAAATTCAAATTTTTTCAAATGTTCTTCACATTGTTAATGAGCGAGAATGCAGTCATTGTCACGTCTTTATCTAGTTCAAAGTACGTGGGCAAACCAGTTCCATTATTCATATTTTCGCGACACCAATTCATCCGCAGATTCAGAGAAAACTTTTGCTAGCCTGGAAGCATGTCAAGTTTTAGTTTTTACTACTTTAGTTGTCTGCGTCCTCTCCTCGTGTAAAATCACTTTCCAGGGAACATGCCTGATAAATTAGCCACTTCACCACCTAAAACTGTTTGCCCGAGCTGCTACGACGAAGCACATCATTTTAACTAAATGACTCTCTCTTCTTCTCCCAATTGCTTCTGTCATGACGTGTTTGGCTGGTCGTTTATTGATGGCGGAGGTGAAGCTGTCTTCCCCACATTATTATGAGAGAAGAAGTCTTTATGTTTGATCATGTCATGTACTTGACTCTGTTTTGTGACTATGTGATCATTCAATGTAGGAAGAAGGCGATAGTAGTAATTGTCCCGAGTACGAAAAGGTAGCACCTATTTCGGCAGTTGGCAAGTCGTCTTCCATTATTAGATTAGATACTCGATCGTTCAAACTGGATATTTGTATGCAATATGCAGCGGGTAATAGTAATATAGTAATTTCCTTCGTCCCTAAAGTTGGCAATGGATTGAATTGAGCACTTCTCCACTCCTCCTAGATGGCTAGATAGACAGATAAAGGGTTGTGTTGTTGTTGTCTGTCGTCTGTCACTAGTGACTGGTGTAAGTGTAGTCGTCGTCGTCGTCGCCGTAGTGTAGCTACTGCCCATAATAATAATGTCGTAGTAGTAGGAGTGCATTTTAGATTAGATTTCGTTGTGGCAAGGGCAAAAGATGAGCGGATGGAATGTCACGAAACGAGAGAACTAGTGAGTTGATGATTGTTTGGGATATTGCCTTGTGTCAAGTGCTCGACGATAAAGGAGGACGACGCAGAATAGGCAATAGCAAGGCTACAATACTTGGTTCAAATATAGAGGAAAGGGATGGATGGTGGTGGTAAAGCAAAAGTAATAATATGATTGAACATTGAATTGAAGATGCTTCAAAATATAATAAAGTTTGGGGCCGAATCTGCAGTTAGAAGGACATTTTGTTCTGTTTCTCACTCACTCACTTTCTCTTCACGTTACGATGATATAATATGATTGGAAATGATGAAGGAAGGCCAAAGAGACGAGGTGCGTATCCAAATAAATTACATAACAGACATTCAAATTCATAAGGTATACTTTTTCTTAGTGAGGCAAATACCTAACAACGAAAAAAATTACTAAGTATGCATTTGACCCACCCCAAAAAAGTGACCATCTGAGATATCTCAGTCATTTCTTAACCGATTTTGATGAAATTTTGTACCGATTATTGTTACATAATTTAGAAATGGGATCTGATCCGACTAAGCGATTACTTGATTTTTACCGGAATTATGGGCAAAAATGTGGCCTTAGAAACACATTTGTAATTATTGCTAATTACTAGCAAACTTTATCATCAATTTGAACCCCACGAATTGTAGAACAGTTTATCCCGAAAATTTTAAGTATAAATACATCAAAATCCGTTCCGAATTGATTTAGTTATTCCAATTTAAAGACCATAAAATTCATAGACGTTCTACGAATCAATGTCATTGACAACGACATATGAATAATAAATTTAAGACAAAATAAATATTCAAAACTGTAAACAGAAGAACTAATATTTGATTCTGCAACACTTTTGGTACAATGCATGAAGTGGTGGTTGTGAGTGTCGCACCTTCAGATTAGGTCATTTGGTATCTAGTAATCTAGACCAGACATCTTAA